TTTTGTAAGTAGTAGACTTATATTTTTCTAACTTTGGTCTAAACGATTTTCAGGCACTAGGAAGTAATTATTATATCTCCGTTTTTCTCTTGATGCCCAATATTATAAATGACAATGTCCAAATAAGCATATCTATGCTGTTTCTTTGTTTGCAACTGAGCTAAATTGGTATCAGCAACGATAAGTAATGATCAGTAATGATTGAACGTGTAAGGGTCTTCATGATCAAAGCGATCGCGGGCAATTTTGGCACTTCTTGTGAAGTTCATTCATGAATTACCGTGTAGGATCTGCTTTATTAGGGGCACAGATTCATTATATCAGTATTTGAAAGCTTACGAAATTACCTGCAAAAAGTTTAAAAAATCATCGAAATCGGACTACGTGGTGCAAAGATATGGCGGTCTAAACATTTAGTATTAATTCTTTAAAGATTTTTTTCTTCATTTCAGTTTTGGATTACTCAAAAACTTTAAATCTATTGTTGTAATAATTGTTTTCATCAAGTATATTTTAGTAGAATTTTATTTTTTGTTTGAATCTTTAAAATTTTTCAAGGGTATATATTTATAATAAAATTATATAATATCGAGGAAAAAAGCTTTTTTTACCCTTATATATATACTCCATGCTTGGATCATTTAAATGAATTAAAGTATGGAATAAATATATAAGGGTAAAATAAAGCTTTTTCCTTGATAATATTAATTTATTAGTAGATTTTCTTATTTTAACAGAAAATGATATAAAAGTATTTCTTAATCTACCCTATTTTCTCTTCTGCTCTTCATTCGGAATTTTAAAATTTGGGCAATGACTCTTTTCTTCCTGAGACAGTATACATTGTCACTAGCGGATCCAGGATTTAATTTTGGGGGAGGGCTTCAGCCCGAAAGTTGTTTTTTTCATAAAAATAACGATAATTACTTTGGAAAAAAGAAAGAAACTAACTACCTGTATGAAATAGTGTTTAAGTGATCCCTTTAAAATGTAATTACATGAACAATTATACTTTAAGAGATACTTTTTTAATATTTTTTTCTATAAAACATGGTTATATTTTACCATTTTTGGGGGAGCTTCAGCCCGAAAGATCCCCCCGTAGATCTGCCCGAGCACTATGGAAACAACAATGATAGGCATTTTAAAATTTTCTTTTGTGAATTTTATTCACACAGTTGTCAATAGAGGGCATTGTTCTTCAATCTAGTAAAAACTGGAACCTTTAAATGTGCAAGGAAGCTTATTATTTACATTTGAAGTCCAACCTATCGCTAACCGGGGCGTTCACTCTACGCTGTATGTAATACCATATTATTATTTACTATTTTTTCTCTCAGCAGCGATCAACTATCAAAAATGTTTCTTAAACGTTGAATTAGGGGGATAGATAGAAATCTAATTTCAAAGTTATCACTGAGCTATACTAGTATAAATAATATTTGAGTAATGGAATCGCAAACAAAACTGTTAAAAAAACTAAACTTCATAAGACAACGAGATTTCTAAATCCAATAAGTTTCTCTTCGCATTCAATAAAGCTAAAATATATCCATTAATAAGTAAGCAATGGATACATTGCAATCCTAACTATTTGTAATCCATTTCCTAACTGTTAAAAATAGTAAGAGGAAGACAGTCGGAAATTGGAAATTTTGAGGCATATAAAAGCATATACGGTTAGTCCGTGGTACAGACCACTTTTCATCAAATTATTATTATCCGTCTGAAACTTCGTAAATGGCTTCATCTTGTCATTTTTTGTTATTTATTTAATGAAATTTACAACTTTATAAACAATACAGCCACTAAAAATGCACACATTAGAAATAATGGCATGAACAGACTTGAAGAGATACTGCCCAGTAGTAGCACTCCCTATTTAATTATAGGTAAGGAGATCACGAGGCCATCTTCTTTTCAGACGTTTAAGGGGATTATCAGGAATCGAGGAAGAAGCAAGGCTAGAAAAAAGTAGATTCGGGTGGGACTGGATTTTATCATGAAAGGATAGGAATCGGGCTCTGACTAAATCAGCGGTATATGGAACATTAAGGTCTTTATGAATGGTTTTATTTGTGACAAAATATGGAGCATTAAGAATTTTGGATTTTAAGTATTGGATACGATAGGAATTCGATGGTTTGGTAGAGCCCCAAAGCTCAACTCCGTATGTCCATATAGGCCTTATTATGGTTAAGTAGATGAGTCTTTTGTAATTATTTGAAAGTTTAGAGCGTTTGTCTAGCAAGTGTTGGAGCAGTCGGAAACATCGAGCAGTTTCTTGTCGTTTCAGTATAGTATGCGGATTCCAAGAGAGACGTTTATCTAAGTGGAATCCTAGGTAGCGGATTTGTTCAACAGGAACGATGTTATTTACGAAAACTCTTGGAATTGGGACGTTTTCAATCTGGAGCTACGCAAACATTGTATATTTAAATAAGTACTAAAAACTGGTGTATACCCATTTGCTTTCCACTTGAATCGTAAGATGATTTGATCTAAAAATAGAGAAAAGTGGTGGTCTTCAAAAATAGTGGGCCGTTTGGCCTATACAACCTCGTTATTTTGAAATTTAGTGGGTGTAGGTCACGCCAAACGGCTCAATATTTTTGAAGACCAACTTTTTTCTCGAGTTGGTGCTCAAATTATCTTACGATTCTGTGCAAGAGGATGGTGCAACGGTGGATGCAAGAGAGACGAAAAGGTTTATGTAAAGCATTTCTACTAATAGTAATATTCGCAAATAATTACGAATAAATTTTCATTGATTGGATATAGAAACAATATTTCTACCTATTCTTCGATATAGTGCAGAGACTGTCCTAAAGAAGCATATGAAAAAGAAAACTTCCGTAAAAATAAGACACCTGAGGAAAGTCTTGGGGAAGGCAAAAAGTATCGGAGGTGGAATGAAAGAATAAGAGACATCCCAAGTCTAAGACAAAAATGTTTTAGAATGGTTCGGTTGGTAAAATGGTTCGTTCTTGTCCACTTGACAAGGATAAAAGATTAAAAGCAAAATGGTTACCGTAATCAGTGAGAAAGTTATATAGATGATCATGATCAGGGCCAGGCTGATTTATCAAGACTGAATAGAGAGACTAGGACGAGCCAGAAGTAGAAACATGATGAGGACGGGAGCTAATGGTATTGAGGAGGAAGCAAAAGAGAGAGAGACAGAAAAATAAACTCACATTGTGAGGAATCTATCTTTGTAGATGAATCAATAAAATTAAGTGTATGCCCACGACTATCAATTTTAAATGCTTCGAGATATGAAATAGTTTGGTAATATATTTATTACAATTTTGCCTTGGGGTGTCCATCCCCTGCTAAGGTCGATGGCGCAAGAACCTATCTCACCCCACTCCCAACATATTTTATTACTCAAATTTTCTTAAAAACAGAGCAAGCTAAGGTAGAATTAGGTAGAATTCCACGCTCAAGAAACTCCAGAGTTATCAAAACTCCATCCTTCGGCGAATAGTCAGAGGTACCATCCTGCAAAGGGCAAATAATGTAAAGATCCGAGAGGAGCTTCAGCTCCCATCGGTGCCTGAGTTCATAGGTCGAAGGCACGTCAAATTTGTCGATGGGCTGAAGGTCTGTACTAACCCGCTTTTCCAGGAAATAGTACCGCCGCCCAGGCCTGGGAGGTGGCAAGGTAAAGTCCCCTTGGTAGATGTTCTCGCCGAGGGAAGGGGTTTGGACTCTGTAGTTCACACCCACTAACTATAATGTAAATAATAAATTAATGCAGAGCGGTCCCTCCACGCCCAGTGGTATAATAAAAGGCCTCTGGCCACAGATGCAAAGAACGCATACAGCGTGCATAGCCCTCTTACCTTAAAATGCCCTTGGGCAATAAAAGGAAATTGAAAATTTATGTATATATACATTTATATATATATTGTATTTTGTAATCAAGAAATTCCTGGGGAGTGGGAAAAAAAAAAGGTGAATTAGAAAAATCGTAGATCATATACAATTACACTTGCTGCAGTCTGCTCTACGGTTTCTTCTTGTCCCATAGTATGAAACTTTTTATTCGGAAAATTCGAAATCCTGCCGAAATGTGTCAACTCCCAAAAGTACCTCTGTATCCGCCACTGGTCAGCGGCAAGAAAGTAACTACACACCGGAACTTTATGCCACCTCCATAATAACTGAAGACGAAATGCCAACTGCCTACACAGTTCCGGGCCTTTGGGCTTGGAAACACGTCGAATAGCCCCTGGGCGCCGACCTGGAGAATAAAAACTCTATTTTATCCTATTAATAAAGCAACTGAATAAAATAAAATTCAAATATTCTTAAATGTAAAAGAGTTTAAGAACAAATTAAAATTTCTGGAGGAAAATAAAGCCATTGTCCGAGGCAAAAAATTCCTGAGACCGGCAATGACCCTACAGAACATGATTAGCATATCAATAGATAAGAGGAGGTGAATCGATTTTGCGAATGATTAAGAGGACGACAGGATATTATGAGAATCACTTAAAATGTAATGATTGTTAAGTATTGAAGGTGAAGTATATTTATATTCAATTATCTGTAGCAGCTACTTACTATATATATATATATATACATATATTTTTTTTTTCAAACTACCATTTAGAGTAGATTGGGTTTTCATGTCTAAACATTGTTCTAATTGAGCACTTGTAGGCTTAATAATTGTTGCCCTTCAATCAGACAGATTCTATTGTCATTCATTAAAAAAAAAAATAACTGTTCTAGTTGAAGAAAATCAATCACGTAATAAAATGATCGACACCTTTGATCCTTAAATAAAAAAATAAAAAATATTCCTTTCGAAATATACATTAATTCAAAATACAGCTTCAAACTACTTCAAAGACACATTAAAGAGTTATTTAAAATTATTAAAATTTGCAGGAAGTATTGAATCGAAAAATTCTATATGTCCTCGTCCACCAGTAAATGGTTAAAACGTATTATATATGTTTGAAAAAATATCATGACCAAATTATAGTAATGGATTTATATTATTATTTGAGTTTATTACAACAAGAATTCTATACCAGATGATCACCACGTTAACATTCTTGCGAATCAAAGGACCCCTCATCTCTTCCATTCATAACCTCAACAATCTGAAGAATATTACTCTCTAGCATTCTTCTCGTGTCAAGATAACTTGTTTGAACAAACGGATGGCAGTAAACATTACTATATTTTAAAGGGGTGGCACTTCTCTGATTGTGCAATTTCATTTAACTGTTCCATAGAAAACTCATGTAATTTTAACGTTTTAATGTGGGAAGTACCAAGATTGATGAGATAGTTACATAACTCATTTAGAAGAAATGTCTATTGAATATTAATTCATAGAACCCGTAAATGAAAATAAAAAAAAAAAAAGCTCTGATTTTAAATGTATATTAGAAGTCATGTGGCTTCTGTACTGATAAAATGTACTGTAGGTAATCGACCAGCTTGATTAATTATGTTGAGGTAGGGCCTGCAAACATTATCTAAGATTACAACGATAATGATCGTCATGTTGTCAGCACCAAGCGAATCCGGCGCTGGATATTCTTTGCATAGGCATTTGCGTATAATTTGCTCACAAATTATGTCAACTGTAATATTCTTACTGATTTTACTTTTGATAAAAGAGCAAACCTCTTCATTTGTCATCGTATCCCAAATCCCATCGCATGCTAAAACTACAAATTCCCAATTTTTCGTTATCACAAATTCAACCACATCAGGTTCTGAAATAACTGCCTGTTGGCTCATATCCTTGCGCCTGTTTCTTTTAAACCTGAAGTCACCAAAGGCCCGTGACATTGCTAAATCGCCATTGATCCGGCCGTATTCGACAAAACATCCTGCTTGCACTATCCTAAAGTTTTCCTCCCGAAGCTCCGGTTTATGATCACGGGAAAGCGGAATCACTTCTCCCCGCGCGTAGGCTACTGCCCGGGAATCTCCGATATTAGCACAGAATAGAGTCCCATTTCTGATGAGTACAACCACTGCAGTACTTCCCTCTTCCAAATGTCTGTAATGAGAATGATTCATAAGCAGGTTATCAATACGCTGGAATGCATTCAATAACGCATCTTTTATAGACCCTGACTTAAAAGCTGGATCGCTGACAATATAATAATACATGTTTTTGCTGACAAAGTCTGAAATGGCATTCCCTCCGTGACCGTCAAAGACACCGAACATGGAGGTAAATGGCTCATTTGGCATATTTACTACAATGGAATAGGAATCTTCCATGGTCGGTCGCCATCCTTGCATAGATCCAGAACCGATCATGAAGTCATGGGTGAGAGCGAAGAAATTCTGGGTCCTAGTATTCGGTTGGAGGGGTATTAAATTGTCCATCCTCAATCAGCCGTGGTCTTCAATTACCATTTTTACAGGTTTTTTTTTTTGTAAATGACAATTTTTATGTCATGACTTTTTTATTCAAAAAGGTTAATTTTTCTTTCAACATGTGATTTTAATTAATAAGTACTTTATTTTATTTGGTTTCCCTGAATGATGCATATATTTCTTTCTTTTTTTACAGAAGTTTGGATCAATCAGTTGACTACATAACACGCGTTTAATAAATCATGCATCAAAGAAGGAGGTATTGTAATCCCAAGTTGTTTCAGGACCATTTTTGAAAACTATATTTATCAAAGCTGTACACGAACAATTATTTTGTACGTTGGTCATGTAACACACAATTTGTCTGTACATTTTATTAAGTTCAGGAAGCGTGCAGGAGCAGGTTATTGGCGTTCAGGAGGAATGGATTCATTGACTATCATATTTAATACCACTGTGAAAGATACAAATGGCCAAACTTTTATTTTTTTGTGTGCTATTTTTCTAATCATATAGTTAGTTCCCAATAGGAATGGTTTATTATAACGTACCTCTACGTGCCTAACATATGGTTATTACACGGAAAATTACAATCAGCTATTGATTTCTTGTGAAAATATTAATCTAGGATTATATTCAAAAAAGCAAATTAATTACATAATTCATATTGTGAATCAGGTATCCTGTTCAATCATGGGAGAAATGGACAATAGCTAACAATCAAAAGCCATTTTGTCATCAATATAACAAATCTTATTAACGAAAACTAAGGAAAACGATCATGTATAGTTTTCCATAGCTATCATTGAAATCTTCTACTACTTGCTAAACAGTTGAGATTTACGATAGAAATATTTGGGTTTTCATGGAACCCGAATATTTATCGTTATAATATACCAGCTGATTCACCTTCGTCCCTCTGGCTAATAAGAAAATGTGGTTAAATATGGGTGTTTATGTATTATTGTCGAACACATATTTTATTACTGTATTATAAATGAGGTCTCCCTGGCAACATTAAAAATTTCAAATCATACGTTTTATATTAAAAGAAATTTTGAAAGTTTTAGGATCATTTAATTGGAGAAAGTGTTTTATAACAGATACCATTTGTCACTCAAAACTTCTTGATGTCATATAATAAATCTGAGAATGATTTGAGGGGTTATTTTATATTATTGAAGAATATATAATCCGTGGTATAGACCACTTTTTATCGAATTCTTAACAACATAATTATTATGATTTATCATTTCATTAATCAGAAATATCATTTATTCTACTCTTCCTCGGTGTTAAGGTTTACCAAAAATCCATCAACCAGACAATCCTCTCTTACCTAACATTTCTAACATAAACCCTCTCTAGGTGATATATACAGTCAAAACGCAGTCAGCTTTTAAGATTTTTATTGTTGCCAACGTTTCAACGGATGCTTGTGGGTCATTATCAGAGCATGTTACAGGCACTGAAGTTATTCAAGTACTTCCTACTTGTACTCAGTATTTAATCATCTTCAGTGTTGGGTTGAAACATTGGGAACAATAAAAATCTAAAAAACTTATTGCGTTCTGACTATTTATCATCCATTATAAAAAGTTGATTCTCTACGGTTATGACGGTTATATAAAAGTTGATTATGATATGTAATCTCTACGTGATAATTTTCGATGAGCTTGTAAATTACAACTATAACATGCAGTTTACAAGCTCATCGAAAATTATCACGTAAAGAACACAAGACTTTTAAATCGCGTTAATGAATAAGGCCCCTTTCGTACTGAAGATGCAAGACGCACAATGCGTGCATCTAAACACTGGACGATAATAGAATGAGAGCTTATACACCGAAGCACAGTGGGGCGAACCTATGCATTCGGTGGACATAGGACCAACATCAGAAATTTCGAATTTTCTCATATTTTTTTTTTATTGAGCTGTTCTTCTTAGTTCCTATTATCATGTTCCATCGTCAGTTTTTTTTTTTTTTTTTTTAGTTAAAAATTTTCACCTAAGATATCTTATTAAAACGACCGTCCATGGAAAATGTCCTTTTTTAAAAAAAAGTACCACAACTATTTTAATGAACCAAAATTAATGAATCATCTTTATCAGGATAATTTAACTTCATTATAATAATTTAAGTTAATGCAGCTTGAACGTTTAATTAATGAAAACTATTTTTTAATGAAAAACATAAAAAAAAATTAAAACATTCATAACGAAAATCGCTCAGAAATCTACCTCCACAAAAACTAGAATCCATTAATAACTACCTACGAGTTCATGCCAGTTTACGAAAAAAAATAAATATTTTTTTTTCCTTTTAGCTCTTGCTTTTTTTCAAAAGTTTCCCCTATAAATTCCAGTTTCTTTGTTTTAAATGTATGTTCATACCCCATGAACGTATTATTATCTTTAATCCTCATGAATTGTAAAAATAATAAAGCCAAAAAAGAAATAAAATTCAGTATCGGGATAGCTTTAATAGCAATATGAACAAAAATCGCGACGTTTTTTATTTTTTCTGAACAAACCATATAAGTTTCAAAGATTATGACTGGGCATATGGACAATGGATTCACGATTTTGGAAATCTAAAATATTTCTAAGAAAAAGGAGTTCTGTGTGCGCGAAAAATTTCGCAAGTTTTATAGAAATTTGTGTTCGCGTTGGATAAAATTTAATATGATTCTATCTGACTTTTTAAAAGGTAACCAAAATTGGTTAAATTTAGATTTTATCATTCTTCATGAATTAAATTTTGATCTACTTTCATCGCCTTCGTCGTCGTTAGCTTCAACTAACGTTCCATCCCGTTCTCAGTGTTTTGATGTGTTATGTGATAGGCAAAAGCGAAGAAAAACTCGATGATATGTTTTTATATTCCATAAAAAAAAAATTTAAATCTGATGATGATTTCTTCTTTACGGTCAAAAATGACCAGTTTAAAAAAATAATTATCACTTGATGCTCTAAGCTTGTCGATAAATTATTTTTTTCTACCTTTTTTTTTAATATTTTACTAAACCAACATGCCTATAGATAATTTAAAAAAAAATTTTTTTTAATACATAATTATGAACAAACATAATTAGTAAAAATAAATAATTATAATATTTAGAGTAAACATTTTTATGGATTTTGTTCATGTTTTTTTATTGTGAATTGAATGGTACCTACTCTTATATGGAAAAGGGGGGTTTTAGTTTGTCGAAAAACCCCGTAATCCTTTTATAAGGATACGTTTGCCCTATCAAAACAAGTGACCTAAGTAAAAGTTGCTGGAAAAAGAGTGTAGAACAAATTTACGGCGTCAAATCATAGGGTTCCAATTAAAAAAAAATCTTCTGGGCCACTCTGTACATCAAAATTAAAATCTGAATACAGAAATCGATTCCTCATTAAAAATAATGCGGGTTTATGTTTAACTTTTTTTCGTACGGCCAACAGTCTGGCCATAAAACTACAATGTCCAATAATTTGGTGTTTCGCCCCAGTGTGCGAAGATGCAAGTGCAAGAATGCAACCTGGATGCAAGAAGCACGTGCACCGCCGGCTGGAGATTTTTACCGTGCGTCTTTGTTGTACTGGTCTTGCTTACTCGCCCCTTCCATCTCCAGCATTATTCCAGTATGGACGCTCCCATAAACGATTTCTTCTTTGTCTACGTCTTCTACTTACTGTACAAGCTGGAAATATAATTTCGTCGTCTGAAGACTCGGGTGATTGATTATTCATCTTTCACTTACTTACTAAACTAACAGAGATAATGGATATAGATAGAAGACGCAAGAGGCACGTGTATCTTTGGTGTGAAAGCTCTTATATCAAGATTCAAAACGCTCATGTATCCTGTGCCCACGACGCATGCATCTTGCGCCTTGCATCTTCGTTGTGAAAAGGGCCTAATAATCCTTGGTACAGATCCCTTTTAATGAAATTGTTAACTTCCACCTAAAACTTCGTGAATAGCTTTATCTCAGGGCAACCTACAACTTTTTCATTTACGACATTGATCGGGATTGTGACGATTTCAATCTTGAGATCGGCAAACATTGTGTGTTTAATTAGGTACTAAAACCTCATGAGCACAAATTTGCTTTATACTTGAATCGTTAGATAATTTGATCACAAATTCGAGAAACAAGGTGGCCAACAGAAATTTTTGGCCATTTGGCTCTACCTTAACATGTAAAAATAACGAGGTTATGTGGGCCAATGTTCTAGTAGACCACCTTTTTTCCGATTTTCTGATCAAATTATCTTACGATTCATACTTAATTCATTAATGAGTTCCCGGTACCTCATTAAATCGATTAATTGAATGAGAAAACGCCCCATTTCTGAGAATTTTCGTAAATAAAAAAATGTTACGTTACGATAAGATGAAAACATTCAAGAAAGGAGTAGGCGGAAATTAATAATTTAGTAAGTAGTTGTCTGTACCACGGACCATAACTGTCTTTAAACAAATGAATTTTTAGCTTTTTTCTTAACTTCTTATGGCTATAAATGACAATAAATAAAAATTTGTATTTCTACAAAAACTTGATATTTCGCCTAGTGTCAGCCGCGTGCGTCAAATTAAAAAAACTATAGAAATCGTTTAAACTGAAGAAGTAGACCTACAACTTTATCCTCGAGAATTTTTTATTTGATCTTCCGTTAGGCCACCAGAAGCATTTGAGCCGATTTATATTTTGACCATTTTAAACTCTATTTGCTTTTCTTACATTTGTCTAGAGGTGATTGTTTAAAAATATTGCTAGGATACTTTTCATCTTAAAAGTAATGAACATATTTATTCAATATTATTACAATTGTTAGGTTATGATTTCTTTGTTGTAAATTAGTAACATGTGGGATTCTCCGATATATTTTTTGATCTGTTATAGTTTTATGTTTTACATGCAAGCAACAAAACATAACTACATTAAAAAATATCCAAATAACTTGTAATGTTTTGTTTTTTCTTAAGCTTCCTTCAAGATTGTTGCAGACGACAGCTGTGATCGTTTGGTTCTCTTGACGATATCCAGAGACCACGTGGTTACAATAATCGGCGACGATCACAAACCACTCCCAGTTCATCAGGTACTTTCCTGAAGGAATGGCAACTTTTTGCAAAAATCTCCATTCTTTTTTATGAGATAAGGGAATTATTAGCCCTATGCCCAACCCCCAACCTGGAGGATCAAGTAAGGAACTAAGGCGTATGTCACAGGGGTGGGTGAAATTCTAGGTGAGGAGGTTAGCGACCCTGTGCAACAGAAACTGCGCCATAGTGGTCTGAGCAATCGAATAAGGCCTGCACGCATTTATTTTAATTTTAGAATAATTATTTTTATGTTGTTTTTTTTCGTTATTAAATTCCGGCAGGCCCCTTAACTCGCTCGACCACCGTGGCGTATGCAATGTAATAGTATAATCTTTACTAATTAAACAGTTTACTTTTAAAAGTTTTTGTATCTATTGTAAAATAACGAGACATTTTTTTTTAAGGTAATTGAATTTTATTTTCCATTATTGATCAATAGAATAGCCATTTATACTCAGCCGATAGGCACCATCCAGGAGCAAAGTTTCAATTTATTGGTGGATCCTTTCCTCTTATAATTTGTACGAAGAATCTGTACGTTCGGCTTCAATTTTCACTTCTTCTGTACCACCTTCAAACCAATGAAGTTGATGCTTCAAATAATAAACGCTTCCGTCTCTAATCAAGTCATAATAAAATAAATGTTTCATATTTAACCCTACGTATTTTATAAAAATATATTTCTAAGTTTTATATGAATTATATATTATTGGGTATTTCAAACATAGATCTGTAATGCCAACAGCTGCAAAAAAGAAAAAAAAAGTGTAGACTCAAAATTTAATGCACGAACCTACTATATAAGTTCTGAACAATTTCGAAAATGTCTTACTAGCAGTAGTGGAACAACTTTGTACAGCACTTGTCAGAAGTAGTAAATACAGATCAACTATTTATTAAACAAGTAATGCTCTTTTAAAAACTATCAAAATTATTATTGACACAACGTTAGTGGTACTTGTGGAATGAGATTATAATAATAATTAAATTACACAGTTTTTGTAAACCATACCTTCTCTCTACAGACGTACTTTAAGGAATTTGAACGTAGCTCGATTCCCTGGTAACGCTTAAAAGTGATATTTTTTATGAAAACGAAAATTATGACCGTCATGTTATCAGTGCCTACGTACTTTGCGTTAGGGTCATCTTTGCATAGGCATTCGTCCAAGAGCTGCGAGCAGATCAGGTCTGGCTTGACATTTTTTTCAATTCTTGTTCTGATGAAATGACACACCTGCTCGTTCGTCATCACATCCCAGATCCCGTCACACGCTAGTACTACAAATTCCCATTCTCTTGTCAACGTTTTCTTGACCACCTCTGGCTGCGAGATGACCGCCTGTTCCGAAATGGATTTCCTTCTGTTTCGCTTATACGCGAAATCTCCGAAGGCTCGTGAAAGTGCCAGGTCTCCGTTGACTCGGTCAAAGTTTACGAAGCAACCGGCATCTAAAATCCGTTTCCTTTCAAGCGGCAGCATCGGTTTGTGATCAGTGGACAACGGAATCACATGGTTATGGGCAAACGCGATTGCTCTCGAGTCTCCAAGGTTGGCGCAATAAAGTGTTTCGTTTCTGATTATGACAACTACGGCAGTGCTACCAGCCTCGGTTTTTCCATATAATGGATCTCTCATCAAATAATTGTCCAGCCGCATGAATGCGCTCACTATGCCAGCCTCCACGTTCCCATTATGGTATTCTGATTCCGTTTTGATGTAGTTGAAGATGTTCTTACTCACGAAATCCGCAATAATATGCCCACCGTGGCCATCAAACACTCCAAAAAAAGAGGTGTGAGGGTCTGATGGCAAGGTGACGGTAAGCGCGAAAGCGTCTTCCATCGCCTTACGCCATCCTTGCATTGACCCTGCCCCAACGACATAGTCATTCGTAATTCCAAAATATGTTTCTTTTTCAGTGATTGGTTGGTCATAAAATATCTTCGTAAAGTTGAAAGCACTCATACCACTTAAAGGGTCCTATAAACAGCATTTCCTGTTCACGGATTGTAAATTTTGATCAGGTTATCATTTTAAATTTACCATGTAATTTAGTTATTTAAAGTTTATAATCAACATCTGTTTCATTGGTTTGTAGAATGTTCTCTTCCTATGGCATCTCTTTTGAGTAGGTTGAGTAGACCGAAAGAATGAATTATCGCTTTTCCTTTATTATTTTCAAAAATTGTTGAATACCACTATCTCACTGAAATGGACATGAAAGTTCGTTGCACTACATTACAGTTAATTTAGGTTAGATTTGTTTCCATTAAAATTAAATTAAAAGAAGAAAAATACCACTGTCTACTATTTAGAACTTTCCCATCAGATGTCAAAAATTTTCACGAATCACCAAAAGTTCAACTTGCACGAACGTATAAATCCCTTTGAAGTATAAAAAATTATTGATCACTAATAACGGTTTTCAAGATAAGATTTTATTTTTATATGCTTTTCATTTTGAAGTTTAGCTCCATTTACCATTGTTCTAAATAGTATACTAATTTTATTGCTACGCCTGAATTTTAAACACCGAAAGGGAATTCGAATGTAATTGTTTTAAAAAATAACCTTTTTTTTCAGTTAGTGTTACAGGGTTCACAAAATTGTTAGTGATACAACAATTTTTATTCGAATTATTTTAGTACTTATCGGTCTTATTATTATTATATATATATTTTTTTTAAATATTTTGAAGTTGGTAGTGATAGTAGCTATGTAGAGTTAAAGTTTAACATAAGCAAACGTGAGACCTAAGACACATTATAAAAAGAGTTTGCTACTCTTCCAGTTATATATATATCTATATTTTAAATGGTGTGATGTATGTAATCAGATATGCCTAATTTTCCTTTTTTGTTTATTTTGCTTCCTCACTGCCGACGGTAGGGAAGCATTGTATTCGGGAGGGGTTAAAAAAAATGTTGTACACAGAATCGAAAATTTCCACTCGCGTTTTACGTTTCAGACATCAAGGATCAAATTTGGTTCGGTGTCTGTCTGTAGTCAAATCGATGTAAAGGACATATCACCTACTACTCTTTATCCAATTTTAATAATTTTTTTAGGGATTGTGCGGATTGATGTCTAGATGGTCCCATATCAATTTTATCCAAATCCATCTAGTACTTCCGCTTATGCAAGCGCAAATATATTTTTTAAATATGGAAATATATCAGAAACGACGATGTAGTGTCAATTTTATTGAATTCCATCTAATGATTAATGTTAATATAAATAATTGTTAACAATATGATGCCTGTGAAATTTGGAAGGCATTGATCATATGGAGCGGGAGTTAGGTTAAGACAATGATTTTATGAGGTTATAAAATTTTAGGTTTTATTCAAAAAGTTAATTTATATTTTGTTCTTATACTTTGGTGCCAATGTCAGTAAAACTACCAGGTTCGCTCACTCAGAAATGCGTGGTTGGGGAACTTGCATTGTGACGTAGCCACTAGACTATCTAACCTTCCTATTGTTATTTCAAGCCTATCATTGGAGGTTTATTTGAATATTAATGTGTCTTTTTTTTAGTTTTACTGGGGTAATTTATTGAAAAGAATATTTTTCTGTGTGCTTGACGTTTAATTGAAGATAATTTTAAGCAGGTAAATCAATAAATACGACAAACAACCTAGAATAAAATATCAAATCAACCTTTCTCTCACCTTTCAAATTTATTAAAATTAATAAATTAATAAGTTATTTGGCAATACAGTATTGATTTAATGTAGAAAAGTAAACAATAATCTTAATGTCCAGAAACTAAGGCCGGAGGCTTTAATTCCTCGCCGCCATTTTCCCTCTGAGTGAGCGAACCTGGTAGTTTTACTGACCTTGCTTTGGTGGTAGTGTTTGGTCGGTTCCGAACGCTACTGGCTTTCCCAGGTGATCGAACCACATGTTTGGGTTGAAACGTTGGCACAAATTTAAAAAAAACATGTATAATAATTACTGGATCCTGACTATTTATCACCCATGATTTTGTATTTAATATTATTATTTTATTTATTTGTTTGTTGCTGTTTATAGGCGTAAAACCCCAAAGTCGTCAACGCCTACAGTTTTTTAATTTTTTTTAATTTTGTTTTTTAAACAATCCCCTGCTTGCCAATTCATAATTAGAAGGAATAGATAACTAATATTTTCTTATATAATATAGACATTTTTAAGGAATCGAGTGCGAATTTTAAACATTTATTTTTAATGATGGAATAGTTCATTAAAAAAAAAAAAAGAATTCTAGGGAAAATGTGCATATCGGTATTCTAAATCCTTCTTGAATGAATTTATTCAATTGTTTGAAAAATTTGAAGTGGTTGTAAGGGCAATGGCTGCACTGCCTAAAAACTTGACCTGGCTAAGTCAAAGCCCTTCAGGTTTTCTTTTTTTTTTTCGACATTAACATAATAAAGGTACATTACTATACTCTATATAATTAGAAAATAAAACAAATTAATGTATATAACAAATTATAGTAGTAAAAGAGAAGTAATTAAATACAATATACAAATAACTGAAATGTAAAACAAAAGTGATAAGTAAGGGGCTAGATATGATGAGTAGAATATTTTTAACAGAAATGTGATATACCAGAATAAAACAAGGGATAAAGATTTAGGATAGAAATTAAGAGTTTGAGACAGTGAAATAATACTAATTATGACAATAAAATAATAATTTAATGACAATGAATAATACCATTCAGTGAAACAATTGATGTAGGTAGCGTTATTAAGAAATGATTAGTCAACAGTTTAATTATTAAGTCCAGAGAAATCAATTCATTCCACAAATGCATCAAATTTTGAGAAACATTTTTCGAATGAGATCATTCTTTTGAAGGCGTTGACATTGGTCTCGAGAGATCAATTTATATCAGTATTTATCCAGTGGAATACAGTCCTGCAGGAAATGGTCGTAAGTTGGCTCACTGTTGCCTTCACATTTGCAAATTATGTTGTCATCCCTTCATAGGCTGCTAAAACTTTCCCTAGTTTTATTACCTCGACCCTTGCGACTTTGCCAGGTAGGGCGGCGTTACTTCAAGAAGAGACTCGGCAATAAACCATGGGGCCAACGTGAATAAAGAAGAGAAAAGACGTTAGAATTTCTGTACATCTACCAGAATATTATTTTAAACAAATTTATTCATAAAAAAATGTCTATGAACACAATGTGTCCTGAACTTCAGGATCTGAAGAGACTATTTATGAATATGATGAACATATAATCAAGTAATATTAATAACTTATAAAATTTTTATAACTTTGTTTTATAAATAACTTATAACTAATTTTTGTGTTAAGTTCTTTTATATCTTAAAAGCTTTGAATTCTATTCCCTTTCAAATTTTACATTCAAGACAAAGCTTTTAACAATCTCGTTCATTCCTTACGTTTCTTTATTTTTCTCATAGTGTCGTTTCATTAGCACACCGTTTTCTAACATTCGTCTATGAACATATCGTATTCAATGTACACTTCTACATTACTTAATATTCCAATAACAAATTAAATAACTAATCCAATAGAAAAAAAAAATCTCTAAATACGTTTTTGATGGAGCTAAATTGTAACTACGTTTTTGTAAATTTCGACGTTGGTTATTAATGCATAAATAAGAAAAGTACATAAGACCAACTTTTTATTTGTTATATTTAATGTTCTGATTTCACAGAGATGAAATTCATAATCTTAGTAACTGTTCAGATTACCAATAGAATAGAAGACCATTATGATCAGAACCTAGGATATCCATTATCCTAATATAATTCAATAAACCTAAAAAAAAACTCCAGCATAAATTAATTGGCAAAATTTCAGATATAATGTATAGTAGTATATAAAACAAAATTAAGGCTCTACATGAACCATCAAGATGGTTTAGGTAGAGCCCAATCCAAAAAAAACATGAGTAACACGTTGCTTTGTCATTGATCTTCATTAATTCTGATTATGAACAAAGAAAACATTGGTTGATTGGTTGATAAAGGTTGTTTGGTTGTTATATGGTCAAGGCGTAAAACCTGATTTTCAACCCATAATTAAGATTTTATATATATAAGGTTGATAAGGATATATATATTGGTTTATGCAGGATCACAGACTTTGTATGGTTGATTATAACATATACCTGCTGAATTCATTTTATTTATTTTTCTGTTTTTTTTTTATTTCAACCCCAAATCGTATACCATCTAGCATTGGCGATAAAAGTAATGTAGAATAAGAACGATATTATTCATTACGGGGAGTTGACACTAATGGAATAATAAATATTGTATCTTCTCTATTCCTCACAATTGTTAACTTTTGATTCTTACAAAGTTTGTCTTAATATAGACAATAACATAAACACATCAACATTATATTATAAAATGTAATATGACTCACCAATCGCTCGAACTGGTTTATAAAAAAAAATATCTTAATATAAATTTAAAACTAGCGAGTTTTAGTAGAGATGGTGTGCATAATCAAAGAGTAGCATTTTGGACAACACTTGGACCATTGAAGCCGTTATGGACAATTTTATATGCGACACAATTAAGAAAACTATGAAATCAATTTTTACAAAAAAAAAAAAAATACATTTTCGACAAGTTTTACAAAAGTTTGACAAACCTACGATATGAATCTAATCAGGTTCAACTATGAAAGAATTAATGGGCAGTAGTAAATAAATTCCACGAAAACTGTGGGTACGGCTGTATCGGAATAATTCTGATGATTTGTTTAATAAATCTTGATAGATTATGAGAATTCGCTTTTCTTTTATTAATTTAATTTTATTAAAATAATTATTTATAGTTTTTTGTTGCTATAGAAAATATAAGAGGTCACATTTCAATATATACATTATTTTAAAATTCAATAAATATTTTTCAATGTGATTTAAAAACTAAATTGAGCTCATTTCCAAAGTGAACCCTTTAAAAAAGATAACGTTTTTTTTGGC